AACTTCATTTTTTATAATTAGGAAAATGTCTCGTAACTCAAATTTTGTGGCTCAAAAGTGACTTAAATGACTAAAACGACGTCGTTTTGGCCATTTGAGTCACAAAATTTGAGTTACGAGACATTTTTCTTTTTCTTTTGTGTTAATTTATGCACTTCTACTCAGCCATGGTTGAAATTTGCTTATTGTTGTTCTCGTTTGGAAATAGATTATTATAATAATTTTTTAATTAAAATATGAGATAATAAAATTGGCATGCTTAGAATAATTTTTTAAATTTTTACGAAAAAATATGCAAAAGTATATTAAAAAAATATTTAACTTTTTGATATAATTTATTGACTTTTTAATTTTTTAAATAATATTTTAACTTGGATGTAGCGGAAACGAATATTGCATTCAATCATTTTTTTTGAGAGTTCTGTTCAAACTTTCATTTAATCTTGCATTTAAATTTTTTTTTTTTTTTTTAAATAATTAATGAGATTCAAGTTATCACATCAGCTTTACATTCTAGGGTCTATTCCCTCAACTATTATTATTGAATATTACTTTTTTTTTTTTAATTTTAAAATTACATATTTAGATCTTTATTTATAAATATTAATTCACTTTCATACCTTCAAAAGAATATTTATACTATTTATTAATGAGGGATTTAAATGTGGGATTTTAAAATTATGAAGAATAAAGTAATATTACTAATTATTGAAAAGAATAAGTTTAATTAATCCAAAATTTTAAATATAAGGAGAAAAATAAATACAACAACAACAACAACAATAATAATAACAGATAAATTAGAATCTCCTAAAAAAATTATGAATATGATCTTAACCCCTAGTCAATTATAAATGCTGGTTTGGGAACTTTGCTATTTTAGTAACTTTTTTATGAGATGAAAAAAGTTGCGTGTTTGGGGAGATTTGTGATTTTTTTTTTTTTTTTTTTTGTAATTGAATATATAGTTGTGAGAGAAAAATGATTAATTGATAAATAAGATGTAATTTTTATCTTATTAACTATTTTTTAATTTTTTTGTTTTTATTAGATACTTTAGCCAAAACCATGCATCCATCAATTTCACTTATGTCCTCCAAAATTGGGCATTTGAACAAATTTTATAATTTAGAATTTGTTTGTAAATTAACTTTTTTAGTGTTTTTTTAACAAAAAGATGTGCCCAAAAAAAATAGAATAAATGAGTTGGCTCTTTGTAATGATTTTTTATATACATATTAATTTAGGGGCCATTTGGGAACTTTTTTAAAAAACTCAAAGTCTGCTTTTAATCCATTTTAGGACTCTTTTGGGTAGAGCGAAAAATGTTAGTTTTTGACTTTTTATTTATTTTTTATCCTATCACCTCTCATATTTTTTATTTATAAAAAATTAAAATAGACTAAAAAAGTAAAAAAAAATTAATTTTTTATCAACTTTCCAAAACACTCCTTTGATTATATCATCTCTCATATAAAAAAATTTTAAAAATCAAAAAAAAAATCAACTTTTAATCATTTTTTCAAACAGCTCTGCTACAGAGCCCGAAAGGTTTCGAGCCAAATTTGGCTCGAATTTGAGAAGAAGAAGAAGAAGAAGAAGAAGAAGAGAATGAGGAAGAAGAGAAGGAGGAGCAGAACTGGAGGGGGCCCTAAAAATAGGGCTAGAGGCGGAGGCGGAGGCGGAGGGAGGTGGAGGTGGAGGCGGGCGGAGGCAGAGGCAGAGGCAGAGGCGACGATCGGCCGACGACCGACGAGTTGCGACGATTGGCCGACGACCGACGACGAGCTCCCACCTCTCCCCTCTGTTTTTCTCTCTCGCCTCTGCTTCTCAGGTTCAAACGAAGAAGAAGAAGAAAGAAAAGAAAGAAGAGGAAGGAAAAAAAAAAAAAAAAATCAAAACCCAAAACGACATCGTTTTGAATTTTGAGCCACATTCGGGCCACTAATTTCGGGCCCTCAAACATTATTTTTTTCAAAACAACTCTTGGTCACTTTCCAAATAAAGCTTCGGTGATAAAAAAATATATATAAATTCATGAGATAAATAAAATGCTATTAGCTCACAATGAATGAGATATTGATGTAATTATTAATTCTAGAGAGAGAGAGAGAGAGAGAGAGAGAGAGAGAAGAAATAAACGTGCATTGAGATACTCAGGAGTCAGGAGACTTGGAACAGGGAGATGGCTTTTTGCTTCTTTGTTTATATATAAATATATTCCTTTTTGAACACACATCTCAAATGACAATAACCATAAACGATTTCTTCTATAAACATCTCTCTGTCCTTCGATCGATCAATTTTGTCTTAATTCTGGACATGTAAAGCTCCTCTGTCACTCCCATCATTACTTTCTTCATCATCATCTCCATCAACTTCTCTCGTCATAAACTCTCGCATTTGCGTCTCCGCCTCGGTTTCTTCGTCATTCCACCATCTATATTCTCTCCCCTATAAGTACTGTAAAACCCCTCTCTACTCATTTTCACCCTTATAC